GGAGGACAATCTTTGTGTCCTCGAGTGACTACAACATTCTGACTACTCGTTATCCAAATCCGCTGAATCAGCACAGCAGTAGTGAAGGAAAAAGACATCTATCGAGTTGCATGGCTTGTTCTCTGTTTAATCGTTCTACCATTGATAGATATGAGCTGATGTGCTCGCTGAGCTGCCCAGCATCGGAAGTCCCCGAGGAGTGGACGAGGCCACCCAAGTGGTTTGCCTTGGAGCCTAGTAGTCGCCATCCCCATGCGCAAGCGCAAATACTGGCAGCGTTTGAACTGTTACCGTGAGTTGAACTGGTTCAACCTGACGGAAGTGGGTGCTCTTTACAGGGCGGAAAAAGCGGTAAAGCACGCACCGTTTTGCGAAGAAATAAAACCACGCGTGAATAGAAGTGTGGTAGAAGTTTTAACAGTTGGGGTACGGTTGATCAAGGACGAGTTGATGGATATAAATCCGAGACTACAGGTCAGTTTTGGAATATGTGTTCGCTTTACTCAACTCGGGAGTTTTTACACTAATTATAGAAGTTTGTGTGTGAATTCGGGTAGGGTACAGTAGAAATGTGCAGAATTTTTATATTGTCACCAACACATGTAGTTGACCATCTGCAGATTTCCCGAAACTGTGAGAGCGATCACTATGAAGAAAATGTCGTACAAGAAATCATAAGGAGTTCCCTCACAATTTTCATATTGTCATCAACCCATGTAGTTGCCTATATTTTCCCACACCTTCCTTTATGTGTTGGGGGAATATATGTTCACATTCCTCAGCCGAGCTTAGATGTTTTCCTCACTAATTATAGACAAATTTGGGTACAACTGTACAGAAACCAATGAAAATTTCCCGAAATTTCTATATCGTCACCAACAAATGTAGTTGACCATGTGCATATTTTTCCCCCGCACTACTCCAAGTGTGATAATCGTGCTTATGGGGTTATTATAAGCCTATTGAGTTAGTTGTGGTGGCATCGTGATGAGGAGGACCCTGAGCTCCCATGGGTTGAAATGATATCTGAGGAGGCGGAAAGTGGCAGTGGTGGACAGTAAGAATCGTATCGTTTTTCCAAGTGAGGTTGCACAATGGAGTTTCACATGTGATACGAAAAACACTAGTGAAAAATATATTTCACGACTACTGCATAGCGCGAATATCGGGTTCTTCACGGAGTATTGCGCCACTTCACGTCGAACGGGTGAAACTACTCCGATGTATCGATCGTTGGTAGCTGGAACAGTGAGAGTGTGAGCTGGAGCGCATTTAGTATTGGAGTAATTATGTTTGCTATCCTCAGCTGAGCTCAGGAGTTTCCTTACTTAGCATAGGAGTTTATATGCGAATTCTGATGGAAGTGTACAGAAACCATTTGAGAATCCCCGGAAATTTCATATTGGCACCGACAATATGATTCAACATTTTATGAAAGGTTGACGAGTAGGAAATGTTATCATGTGAATTAACTTATGCTGAAGATGGTGTGGTATTTTAATATATATTAATAACTTCAATTGAGCTCACTGATCAACCCGCCGGGAGTGTTATCATCATTTCAGATACAACATGCTAGAAGTCCAATCGTTGACTCTAGACCTGCCCCAGTCAGCACTATATCAAGAGTTCCTCGAGGTGCGGTTGGTGAAGAGGGTAGACAGGGGTTGGCTTAAAACGGAGGAGGAAGATGAGATCTTGGGGTTTGGGTAGGGGTCAAATTGGATGTCTGCTGATACTATGCAAATGTGGAGAATGTGTGTTGTCTATTCCGGGATTAATGATAGTGAACAACTTGTCGCTATCATAGTCTCGAAAGGTTACTTCTATCATATCACTAACGCTGGGATTTATACTAATGTCAATTATTCTCATTATAGTGTGTGCCAATTTGATACTATGCAAATGTGGAGAATGTGTGTTGTCTATTCCGGGATTAATGATAGTGAACAACTTGTCGCTATCATAGTCTCGAAAGGTTACTTTTATCATATCACTAACGCTGGGATTTATACTAATGTCAATTATTCTCATTATAGTGTGTGCCAATTTGATACTATGCAAATGTGGAGAATGTGTGTTGTCTATTCCGGGATTAATGATAGTGAACAACTTGTCGCTATCATAGTCTCGAAAGGTTACTTCTATCATATCACTAACACTGGGATTTATACTAATGTCAATTATTCTCATTATAGTGTGTGCCAATTTGATACTATGCAAATGTGGAGAATGTGTGTTGTCTATTCCGGGATTAATGATAGTGAACAACTTGTCGCTATCATAGTCTCGAAAGGTTACTTCTATCATATCACTAACACTGGGATTTATACTAATGTCAATTATTCTCATTATAGTGTGTGCCAATTTGATACTATGCAAATGTGGAGAATGTGTGTTGTCTATTCCGGGATTAATGATAGTGTACAACTTGTCGCTATCATAGTCTCGAGAGGTTACCATTATCACATCACATGTTCATAGCAGTGTTCATATTGTTTATGCGATATAGTTTCGAATTGATTCTCATCGGAAAATAACGCAAAATTTTCACATTTGCATATAAAAATTAGCACCCACTGTATAACAGAGTTTTTGGATCATTCGAAAATTTTCTATCATAAAGTCATTCCCTTTCCTTCCGCCGGTTTTGGAAGCTTCATCGTGAGAGCCGATCTCTCGAGGAGCATCGCTAGTGGGTGTAGTTCAGTGTTGGAGGAATATATGTTCGCTCTCCTCAGCTAATTACATACGAATTCGAGTATAAGTGTTCTAATACCACTAACATTTCCCCGAATTTTTGTTCAGAAATTTCCATATTGTCACCAACACTGCTTTAGATACATCCACTTGAACCCGTTATATCCTTGGCTCACCGACGAGGAAAAAGAAAAGTGTTGAGAGTAGCGTTCACTGTAGTCTATGATGAGCGCATGCGTGCAGATGTCGGGAGAGTTTCACGTTGAAGACGCCGACGCAACTGAGGCGAGAGGAGGCCCTGAGGGAACAGGTTGCAGCTGAGAAGAGGCTCGTCCAGGAAAAGTAAGTGTCGTTGGAAAATATCCACATGGTCAACCACATGGGTTGGTGACAATATGGAAATTTTGAGGAAATTTCGGGGGGTTCTTGCACGGTTCTTCCCGAATTCGCATAGAAATTTCCATTCAAGGGAGGAAATTTCAGAGCTCAGTTGAGGAAAGCCATCAT